CTCCTCTTGTATCTCCCTCGCGCCTCAGGAGATGAAAGAAAATGTTTTTCTCCCTGAGCTTGGCCTTCATAGTTCCATTCCATCACAGAAGCATACAAAAGCTAAAAGCAACAACCTGAAGACGTAACAAAGAAGTGGTTACCAGGGCTTATTCATGGGCAGATAGGGAGACATGAGAATGAGTACCTTCTGTCCATGGGTCCGAAAACATCTCCTTGCTAGAATTTCCTACAAATGATTTCTAACAAATTCATATAATTTGTACATGTACAGTAAGAAATACTTATTGTGAGGAAGCATTTAGGTAAGGAAGTAGACCACAGTTTTTACTTAAGCTGCTCAATAAATCTGAACTGATATTAAATGATTAAAAATTAAGGCAGATTTAGGGAAACTGGTTTATTTTTTAAAAAACCGAAGAAGGGAAGATTAAATTTAGGTATTGCAATGCAGAAAGAAAGATGCCATACAAGGTTAAAACTTCATATAAAATGAAACAAAACAAAGCAGTGATGTCTTTTCATATGTGGTACCTTTCAGTAGAGCTCTTCAACAGACCACGTGTGGACCATTACATCATGTCCAGGAGTAACATAAATTCTGCTACTATTTGCTAACTTGCTGTCTCTCCAGCATCAGGGACTATTTAACCATGGATCATTGGGAACAAGAGTAAGGAACTAAGTCAGCATAACTTTGCTATTCAAAATCTGGCTAGGAGGCCAATTCTGGCATTGCAATGGACACAATTTAGGAATTATTGTCTATTTAATCTAGGATAAAACATTTCCTGAGATCTTTTAATTTAGAAGGACTAGGACACCAAATACTGAATGTAAATCACTACAAGATGGTCCTTCCCTCCTGGCTGAATGCAATGAATTAGAAGTAGATGTCAACCCACCCTACTAAAACTGCCTGTGTTAATGTATTTTCAGTTTTGCAATGCCCTCAGCTGAGAAAATACATTATTTTTACCACTGCTCCTTAATCTAGTGTATTCACTAAAGTTCCACTTCTGTGGTCTAACTTAAAGCCCTGCTCCATATGCTCAGTGAATGAATGGGGGACTATACTTATGTAGTCTTCTAAGGTCTGGTAGAAGCTTGTGGTTATGAGGCTCAGTGCTCATACACACATTCACTGAATAAGATGATGAGAAGATGGATTATGAGATTTAGATATGTAGGATCCACTACTGTATCAGAAAATATTAAATGACCAAACATTCCTTAAAGCAAAAAAAAAAAAAAAAAAGTCAACCTCTGCCTTTCCCCACCAGCCAACATAACCAATGTTCAGGGCTGAAGACCTTGCAGTCCAGCGAGGTCTAGAAAGTTACATGTTGCCTACCTATATTTTATCAAGCGCTAAATCTGATGGATTGTTCACTTTGTGATAATGCTAATAGCACCACTGTATGCAACAAGGATCATGTATGATTACTTTCCCTTGCAAGGCTCCCAGGGTTTAAAAGCTGAAGAAAAAAGAAATTTACAAAGCATGTTGAAGGCAGCAGAATTTAAAGGAAACATTTCTATCACAAAATAGTAAAATTTACCATTTGGGGGAAAAGACAAATGTGTTCAGGGCTAAGGAAAGGAGGCAGGTCTATAAAAATGTCAGGGTAAAGAGGAACGTAAGACAAACAGGCTTTCACCACCAGGTAGAACATTCAAAAAGCAAAACCTCATAAAACAGTCCGATTAGCAGATACTTACTAGTTCTCTTGGCCCATATGGTTCACAAAAAGTGACAGCATTGCCATGCATAATTACACCACATTGTTCTCCAACCTCACAGTTGCTACATTCAAACCTGCAAGAAAAATAATTCAATGGAGTTGGAAGCATCATGGAACAGCTGAGAGTTACAAGGGAATATTATGCTTAAAAGTCTTAAGGAACAAATTATTATCTATCTGGGCCTCAATGATGTTGCTTTTTTAAAATATTAAACCCCGTAAAACTTTTCCCGCCCTATCCAAGACATGACAAAATATCCTGTTAAGAGTTAGAACAAGTGAACAGCATTTTCTCAATGATATGCATACTCTTCTCTTCAAATATAACAGAGTAAGTAGCATATATAGCACTCTGTCCTCCAATTTTACCCCCAACAAAAACCCTGTGAGGGAGGTTGAGACAAGAAAGAAAGGAAGTCAACCAGTGAGTTTCCATGCTTGAGGAGAGACTCAGTGCTAGCAGCCCAACATCTTAACCATTACATCACACGACTCTATGTGTTTTTCTTAATTATTAAAGCTTGCCTAATGATCAATCAAAAATTCACCAGACTTTGCAGCAACATACACAATGATATAGTTAGATTTGTGTCCTGAAGGATCTAGTCATATCTTCCAGAAAACGTCCAAGCCTCTACCAGTTTTACAGTTGTCTGCATCCCATATTTGCCCACTGTTGTTTAAACAATATATCCACATGTGGTTTGGATGAAATTAAAGGATTAACTTGATGACAATGATACAAATAGGAGAAAAATGTAGATGATTTTAACTGGCTGGTTTCTAAATGAAGGTGTTCTGCTAACTGTAAGGGATTGTATGGAGTCTGGGAGAGTAGTGAAAAGAGTGTTAGACATAAACAACTGAGAGACAGGAGGGGAGTCTGTTAGTTGGTTATCTCATAAACAGCAACTCAGTCCAGCTGGCAAGAAATAACTCATAACACAATACTCCAAGAGGTTCAGTCTTAATGAACTCACTAATAAATTAAGCTGGGATATCCCTCTTGCAGTTTCCAAGATTCCAGATTTACCCCCAACACCAGCATTAAAGAACCCTAATGGAGTTTGTGTCATCCTTGCTTCCTTGATCTTTCCTCTCTTTGCAGAGCATGGTTATGAATTGCTATTGTTTCAGGCATTCAGATAAGAAAGCAGGTTTTGGTTTCCTGAAAAGCATCTATTAAGTGCATCAAGTTCTAGGCTTACACAGATTAAACAAGCCCCTGCTGAAGTGATTGCACAACAGCTACCAGGCACTGAAAACTCTACAAAAAGCCTTGATCAGTTAATAAACAGGCATGATGCCATTGCAACAGATGGACTCGGTATCAAGAGGGATTGTCAAAAGACTATCCAAGAATAGGGGGCTGTAAATATGCTGTTATTAAAAGCACTGCCCATTAAGGAAACATTTTTTCCCAAACCTAAATGCTACGGAAAATACTGTCTCCTGGGGATTTAAACCAAGAAACAAAACTGTTCAATCTTAAGAAGGTAGTGCCAGATTCTATGAGCTGGCTACTAACATGAATGAATTTTGGACTCCTTATCTCTGGGAGTGCCATTCAGTAAAAGTGGAACAATGCTTAGTGTTTCCTTTGGATGTGCAAAATATCTGGCACCTGCTTCTTGAGATGCTTTTTCTTCAAATGCTGATTTCTTGATGAAATAATCACTGGAAAGAGAATTTACGTGCAATCTGCAGCAGTAGACTAACATTGTCTGTCAATATTATTTGGGTTGGGGGCTTTGTTCCTTTTATTTGCTGCTGTTGTCAACAGGTCAAGGAACTGTAGGTTGCTCCTTCTGGGCTTTGTAGGTAACGTTGAGGGCTGATGCAAAGTTTAGGGGGCTTATGCATACTAAACTGGAGTGCTGACAAAATTCACTTGGTTTCCTAGGCAAAGCAGGGAGTAAAGTCTGGAGCAAGTTCTCCCAGTGTCACTTCTGTGTTTGATCCCTTCCTGGGCTGAGGATATCAGCTTGGCCTTTCTTCTTTTGCACAATATAACACGGCCATCACGCAATCATTTGCTTTCCCTGAAAATGAACGTTTTCTGAATGGAGCTGAGTGCCAGCAGGGCCACGCTTTGTCACTTATGCACCATCCATTTGCTGGGAGGTCATTCAGGCAGCTACAGAGTAGGGACTAAAGTTATTATCAGGCTCTTAGCCTCGGCCTATAATTGAAAGTGATTCTCACAGCATCTCTTTAGCCAGTTCCATCAGGAAGAAATGGATAGAATTATAAGAGTACTGACAATTGAACTATTTCCCAACATATAACCAAATGTATCTCCAACATCATTAAGGGCAAAGTCCTGATCAGTTTCTTTTCTGCTGCCTTTCTATGAACTGGCAAACTGGAAGGAGATTACAGGTGACTGTTTATCAAACCATCTTCTGAAACCAACAATTTCAGTAACTTCAGCAACTTAAAAAAGCAACAGATTTCTTGTGTGCCACTGTATCAGGCACTGAAATTGTTACCAACCCATGGCAGTAGCACATATAACTGTCTAGAAAGGGAAAACGGGCCTAAGAGGAAGAAAAAGCAGATGCTTGTTTCAGGGCCACCAAGTTTGGGCATAACCACCAGAAGCTTCCTCATGTTTAGAATTGCTATCAGTCACAAATTGTTTTAACAGGGTCACTGGTTAAGAAAATGTGCTCCAGCTTTGCATGCATTCTAGCTTCTCTGCATCCTTAAATGATGGCCTGAGAACCTGAGGTGAGTCCTGGGCACTATACTTTAAGGATTCAGAGAAACTAGAACAAGGTTGCACATGCAAAGCTGGAAGATGGTCAGAGCATTGTGCACTTTTATATCCAGCAAAGCCCAGCAAGTTTTGAAAGTGGGCTAAATCCATTGGTTAGTCATGGGTCAAAATCATCTACCACCATGCAATTTGATCATTCATTCATTCATAGACATTCACTTATCTTTTTAGAGGTTAGGCCACTGGGGAGTTTGAGGAGTTTTATTTTATGCACAAAATTAGGGGGAGCCTCCTATACTTGTATTTATTTATACAAATAAATCTAAAAATGCATCCAAACTTACCACATGGTAGGATTCAATCCTTGCAAGTGATAAGAATCAAAGTCATCTCGTAATATAACGCTGTTGCTGTGCATCTCAGCTGAAATGAAACAGAAAACAATCTATAGCATATTTTGACAAACTAAATTGGTCAGATGTGTGCAATATTTCTTTTTGAAATCCTCATGCAAAGATAATGCAGTTCAAAGAGAGTTTAACGGCTCAAGCACCCGGCATTTGTTGCCATTTCTGAAAGAACTTCTATCTTAGGGTTGTGCAGCCTTTCCAAGTCAAAGGTGAAAAGAAGCTTTAGAATGTGCAGAGGCACTCATGTAGCAATTGACTGCAACTTCTTAAAGCAACTGCTTCTTTTCCTGGAATCATGTAGCTATCCTCCACAACCATTGTGCCTTCCCAGAAAAAGATATAGTTGGTTTAAGATTACAAAAAGGTGCTACCTGTGGGCCACTGCATACTCTGATGCATCTTTTGGCCTTTAAATATGAAACACTGAATATGAATATGAAGCATTGCACAGCCCCTCGCTACTTTTCTTCCAGCCATTCCTGTACAGCGAAGGAATGTTTATTTACATGCAAACTCTCCTGAGTCCAACCCTTGTCATCTACAGAATTGTGAAAGACTTCTGTCTGAAGCCATGGGACAAATGTTGCCATCTCTAAACAATTCTTCTTACTTTCAGACTTTGAAAAGCTATTTAGGGAATATCCCACAAAATAACATAGCTTCAGGTGCCCAGCTTAAAAAAGAACAGTAACGATTAGCTATTGCCTTCTATTATTAATATTCTTCCTTCTACGACCTTGACCAGTGACTTAGTGATTTTCACATATCACACTACAATATGCCACAATCTGGTTCAATTTTTTTTAGTCTTAATATGACTTGTGAATGGTGTTAAATATATAAACCAGTTTGTTTAAGGCTACAAATCACATTTACTGGCTAGAACTTTGGTTGAATGGCATGTATGAATGGAGATTTGGGCGGGGGGGTTGTTGTTTCTGCTTCATTATTTGCATGTATTTGCTAGTAATCAGGATAAGCACAGCGGACTGGATGATTTGGGTGCACCAAGAACTATATCAGCCTTTGAAGTTCTACCAGAAGTTGTATTCCAAAAATAGGTACAGCCAGGCCAAACCCAACTGATTTTAATATAATTTTAAACTTAATTAATTAGAAGACTGCACATTTGTTTTAATAACTTTTTTTCCTTCTATCACATTAAACATTACAATCCAGAATCAACTGTTGGAGTTTTTACAGAATAGTGTAGTTCTACCACTGTATCGTTCATGGAGAAAATCCATGTGGTTGCTAGGAGTCAAAAATGACTTGATGGCACATAATCAATCATCACTGTACCATAGAAACTCCTTTAGAACTTCTGAGATTAAACTTAGCTTTTATTATCATCTTGGAAATTATTTCAGAAACCCAGCGATAAATATTTCAATATAATTTATCAGAAGAACAAATAAAACTACAGGTATTCTTCGACTTATAACAATTTGTTTAACAGTTGTTTGAAGTAACAATGGTGCTGAAAAAAGTGACTTATGACTAGTCCTCGCACTTACAACCATTGTAGTGTCCCTGTGATCACATGATCAAAATTCAGGTGCTTGGCAACTGGCATGTATTTATGATAGTTGAAGCATCCCAGGGTCACATGATCACCATTTGCAACCTTCCCAGGGAACTTCCAACAAGCAAAGTCAGTGTGGGAAGCTGGATTTACTTAACAACTATGTGACTCGCTTAACAATGATAGTGATTCGCTTAACAACTGTGGCAAAAAAAGGTCGCAAAATTGGGTGGAACTCACTTAACAACTGCATTGCTTAGTGATGGAAGTTTCAGTCTCAATTGTGGTCATAAGTTGAGGACTATCTGTATAAGTATATGCCTCCTACTTTTCAAAAACCCACGCTTTATCTTATTTCCATGATAGCCAACAACATCCATACATTTGAATTTTAAGCCTGATCATAGTTTTGCCTGCTGAGTACTAGTTTTCTTTCTTGCCTACATGGTCAGGCACCCCTGCCAAAGATAAAATCCTAGTGTCTGCACAGAGCCAATGTCATAAACAAATGAGCACAAACATATTTGTAAGAGTCAGAGAGCCATCTGCTAGGTTCATCTGTTCTCTCTTTTGCTAAGCATTTAGGGGACGCAAAACAGGCTGGAAAAGGCTCAGTTATGATTTCCAGTACAATCTGGGATTAATCTAGAAATACAGTAACAACCCCCTTGTTGTTTTCTCAGGCTTGTTTTATGTACCTGAAGGGAAGAGATTTGAGTGGTTATAAATGTAAGATGAAGCCTACTGAAATATAAATAAATGCAGTGACAGAATTGAATATATCCAGTTTTCTTTCCATTCTCTTTGACGTATATGAATACTTTCAAATGGGTTATTATTTTATAATGCCATAATGCAAACATTCCAAACAGGGCAACCTGAACTGCCATCTGAAAAGCCAAACAGTAACTTATTGACCTACCTAAAAGAGGATGTAAGGGAGCTTCTGTTGGACCTGCAAAGGAAGAACAAAAAGCAAATAAGCAAGTATATTTAAACTCTATCAGATTTTTTTCCATGGTGGTCTTTGACTGTAGCAAACTTTGGGCATTGCAAATTAAAATATTGAAGAAATGGGCAAAGCTTTTAAAAAATGGAAAGGTGTAAGTATAAATAGTATCTTCAGTTAAGGAAGTTGGTTACATGAAGTTGGCCTATATTAATACCCGTTATAGGTGTGCAGGGATCCAGATTTGAAGAGGAGAAGGTGACTTGTGGTCCATCTGGGTATAAAAAGCACCTGTTGCCAACTCCTTAAATCAAACATGTCTTTTCTTGGATTGTAAAGCTGCCACCATGCCATCCCGGGAAAAGACATAGCTACATTAAAGTGTTGCCTGCAGGTGCTATGAGAGTATCTCCCTCAACTCCAAATCATTTGAATTCATAATAGCCTTGCATGGACAGGAATTTGGCCAGGATGATTTAGTGACCTTCACAACTGAGGAGGAGTTGAAAGCTGTGGGTCATAAAAGCCCAGGTAAAGTCTCCATACTGTCTCCATCATCACAAAATATTTTGCAATGCAATTATTTTGTACATCCAGCCATATTTGTGAAACAGTCATGGGACTTCCTTGGGCCATAGAATATTTGAGTTGCAGTTGTTCTACCTGTTAGCATATGTAGAAATATCTGGCTGGGTTGCTTTTTATTCTATTGGGAATATTTTTGCACACATTTCATTAGGAGGGAGAGAGAGAGAGAGGCAGACAGACAGACAGAACCAACCAACCAACCAACCAACCATAGAAAAATATCACTTACAAAAGTTATGGCTACATTTTGGTTGTGAAATAAATTATTTGTAAGGTTGAGCAGCAAGTGTCAGAAATCAGTTTTTAACTTCTTAGTCATAAAACTGAACGCTAAAGCTACTTAATTTCTCACTTTTTTAATGTGCCTGAAAAACCTTACAGATTCTTTGCCTCAAGTATCTTATCTAATTTCTAATTCTAATTCTTCATCTCAGAAATTATAAGAGAACTATGAAGTTACCATTAAATGGGTGATGAACATACTTTCATAGCCCTCAGAATCATTTCTTTATTACAATTTATATTTTATTGCACTAAGGTGCAGTTTTGACCTTCACATATTTTAAATAAAGTCCCAAAATGTCACATAGCAAAAGTATTATATAAGATTGAATACAACATTTTTCACAGTATCTTCAAGTGAGGATTTTACCAACCCAATCAATCCAAAAAACAAGTGGGCAGAGTTCATTCAAACCCACATTTCTTTAAATCCCATTAATTCCAATCTGGCAAAATTGAGTGGATGTTTAATTTTTAGTTTGAAATGAATGGGTCGTAAAGAACCTTGGACTCTTAATTTACTTATTTTTGGAATATGAACTAAACCACATAACAAGAACTTTGAAAAGAGAAGGTGAGAGAGTCTGACTTCTCAAGGTTAGAACAAACAATTACACTTCCTTTCTCTAGAAGCCTCACTACGAACCCTTCTCACTTGATTTTCTTCTCTCACCTACCTCAATAGTCTTCTTAAATTTGGACTAAACCCACCTCCCCCAGCAGCCAATTTGGTTGATATGGATGGGCTGCGCCATATTGATGCTGTTGTGTAGGCCTAATTTCCTTTCTTAAGAGTCAAAGCTGAGTCTTCAGCTTTTGAGATTGATAAACTCTTCAGACAACTTGGAAGATTTCCAAGGGTTTAAAAAAAAAAAAAAGTTTCTTTCATGGGAATGTTCGCATTAATACCGAAAAAGGTGTCATTATAACGGCCTTCATAATAAAGGGATCAACAATGGATGTTGTGATGGTTGCCTGCAGGGACCCTGTCTTTCTCACTTATGAAAAGAACTATTTTCCATGCACATGGAGCATTTCCCATATCCCATAAAGCTTCTTCTTTCATAAATAAGAATGGGAAACACTCCTTATGTTTGCCTGGGTCTCTGGAACGTACCACATGCATCTCTTTACAAGCTGGGGTCAATAGTCACCATTCTTCATAGCCCCTTCCCTTTTTTCCATTTTAATAAAGGCAAAAAGCCCACCAAGAGAGTCATGCTTGGTTTACTTAGTGCTTAAATCAACAAATCAATGCTTATTAAAGATGAACAGATGCAATTATTCTTGGCAATGCTTCTATTCATGTCTCTGTGCATATGTTTTCGTAATATTTAGCTAAATATTACTGAACTATTCCCCCCCATAAAGGAGTATATAATAAGACTTTGTATGCATTGCAAGTAGCTCTTTCCAGCTCTGATGTGAACTAATCTTGACTTGCTTTTAATCAGAGTTTTGGAATTTGTTTGAAATACTGACATAATTTGTTTCTAATGACACTCAAGTGCATAATACGGAATAGATGAGTTTTTTTGTCCTGGCCATTTGCACACTCATTCGAGCAAGAAAAACTGGGCGGCTGCTGCTTCCTGACCAACTTAAAAAAAAATCCTGGAGAGAAAAAAATGGAATAAAACAAGGTGTGAGCAGGGTCAGCATCTCCACTGACACGTTTAAGAGGGAATGTTAACACCTTCCATCCTTCTGCCCATTTTTTATCTGTGTTGCTGGAAATGGTTGAAAATTGAAACGTGTATAGAGAAGTACCTAGAGAGTGCCTAGAACTGACTCAACCCCAAATGTCAGGTGGGACAATTAACTTTGATTAGGAGGGGAAAAAAAGACCGAGAGAAAAATACCAAGTAAATTGTATTTATTAATTAATTTATATGGCCCTCATTTGCAGGATTTTTAAGCACTTTAAAAAGATGAAACACCACCAAAGACTTTAAAAAACCTAGGAATCATGATGGTTCAAAAGGCAATTTTGAGAGTATGCCTCTGAAGTTGTACATCACTGAAATGCTCAGTCTTCGACTGACATGAGTAAAGTGCTATAATCCACTTGAGGCAATAATCAATAATTTCAGAATGAAAACTGAAAATCAGGGGTGTCTGTATGAAAGAAGTCAAGTCAGTGCCACAACCACGCGATCAAAGCTTCACCCCCTTTTAATATGTGTAAACATTTATTTGGT